CAACTAACATCACTGATCTCTGACTCCCACGGACGCCAATGGAAACCAAGACAATGCCACCGTGGAATTAGAAAGAGTCATAAAAGGAGACTGTGAATCTCTGGAAGGGCCTAGAGTTGTCTGAATTGAGGAGTCTCAACAGTGGGCTTAAAATAGTCAGTGAACCATGGTGTAAACAGATGTGGTGTCATCCACAGTTGGTGGTTCATTCATAGAGCACTGACAGAGTAGATTTAGCATAATTCTTCAAGGGCCCTAGGACTTTTCAGAATGGTGAGTGAGCACTGGCTTCAAATTCAATGACCAGCTGCATTAGCCCCTGACAAAAGGCAAGCTGTACTTGGAAACTTTGAAGCCAGGCAGTGACTTCTCCTCTCTAGCTATGAAAGTCCTAAACGGTACCCTGTTCAATAGAAGGCAATTTAATCTACAATGGAAATCTCGTGTCTAGCGCAGCCACCTGTGTCAGTGATCTCTGCAGTATCTTATCCTAACTCCCTATAGCTTCTACCTCACCTCTTCTTGGTCCATCCTGCCTTTTTATGCTATAGAGAGGGCTGCTTTCCTTAAACCTTACGAACCAACCTCTGCTGGCTTCAAACTTTAATTTTCTCTCTCTTTCTGTCCTCATGGAATTGAAGAGTCAGGGCCTCCTCACTGTGGATTAGGCTCAAAGGAATGTTGTGGCTGGTTTGATCTTTATCCAGACCAGTAACTTTCCCCGTGAACTCCAGATGGACTTATTCACCTGCAGGGCCTAACAGCCTCAGCAATCAGGCGGTTTAGCCTCCATATCATTCCTGCACTCACTGGAGCAGCACTTTTTACTTCCTTTTCCTTTGCATTCACCACTTGGCTAACTTTGGCTCACAAGGCCGGGCTTTTGGCCTATGCTGGCTTTGGACGTGTCTTCCTCCCTGTCCTGTGAGCTTTTAGTTTACAGTGAGAGATGGGAGATACTCTTCCTTCCTCGTGAACACTTTAAAGGCCACTGTTGGATTATGCATTGTCCTGATATGGTTGTGTCTCAGGGAATGTAGGGAGGCGTGAGGAGAGGAAGAGAGATGGGGAACAGCCGGTCTGTGGAGCAGTCTGCACACACACGGCATTGTTCAATCAAGTTCCTCATCTCACAGGGGCACGGGTCATGGTACCCCAAACATTTACAATACTAACATCCAAGATCCCTGGTCACAGATCACTACAATAATGAAAACATTTGAAACTTGTGAGAATTACCAAACTATGACCCAGAGATAGGAAGTGAGCAACACGCTGTTAGAAAGATGACAGTGACAGACTTGCTCAGCACAGGAAGGCCACAGACCCTCAGTTTGTTTAAAAAAAAAAAAAAAATGCAAAACCAGTATCTATAAAGCACAGTAAAATGGGGTCTGCCTGCCTGTGCTGAGTGAGGTTCCTGGAGGCAATGGTGACCAGGTGATGTGGGACATGCCAAGACTCTGACTTCTCCCCTTCTCCCCTCCGTCTTTCTAGCTCAAAATAACCAATCTTGAGAATTTCATGTCCAGGTTATCCAGTTTTTCCAGCACACCCCTTACATCTCTTCCAAAGCCCACCCTTAGGAAAGTTTGTAGGAGGCTCCCACAGACGACTAAATGTTCGTGGGCACAAGATGTCACACAGCACACTCCACAGAGGAAAGGACAGAAAGTGACAGAAAGTGCTCAGGGAGACGGGAAGTCAGTTAGGTAGAGCAGGGCAGTGCTGCTGCCTGTGGGGACAGCTCTACTCCCCAGGCTTCTCCTTCACTCCTGAGCCCTGGGGGTGAATGCAGGGCTGAGGGCTCAGCTCTTAGGCACTGAGCAGCAGGCCTTCCACTGCCATCTCTGGGCACACCCTGCTGCAGCTTAGCCTGGGGAGGAAGCTCTGAGAATGCAAACCTTACCCTCCTGGCCTCTGATCCTACATGACCTAAGCCTTGTTGGGTCATGATAAACCCCCCTGTGAATGCCCTGACTGAGTTCTGGGAAACCACCTGGCTGAAACAGGCGGGGAGAATTCAGCTGTGAATAGATACCACACCCCTGGGTCCTGCCTGGTCTCTGCCCCCTCTGGTTTTTCCCTCTTAGCACTGCTCTCCCGCCCCGTGGAGCACCTCAGCAGTTCAGAGCAGAGCAGAACGTGGAATTCAAGTCCTGAGGCTCCCCCATCTCCTACACACTCCTCCTTAGTTCTGAGAAAGTACGGCACACTACCTAGCACCCTCCCTCCCCTGGCCCAAAGGCCCTCTTTCAGCCTGGGCCCCAAGCCCTCCTGGTCCCTCCTTCCCTCTCTCCTCAGGGAAGCCCTGGTACTGTTTTTGGACTTCCTGGCACTAACGCAACTGCCAAGGCCCCACCCTCACAGCTGTGCTGAGGTCCCTAGAGGCAATGGTGACCAGGTGACGTGGGACACGCCAAGACTCTGACTTCTCCCCATCTCAAAACAATAGTTTTGAGATAGAGCCTCACTCTGTCCTCTGGGCTAGAGTTCAGGGCCTCTGTGTAGCTGGGAATTTTTCTATTTTTGGTAGAGACAGGGTCTTGCTATGTTACCCAGATTAAGCGATCCTCCTGCCTCAGCCTCCCAAAGTGTTGGGATTACTAACCACTGTCCCTAGTTAGACCGAAGTCCTCTGTTAAAGTGGCCTGGCTTTCCTATCCTCCTCTCCTTGGTTTCAGGCCACTCTAGTGGTTCTGCCTCCTGGTCCTCTACTTTGCATCCCTTCTTTGGCATTCATCCTCTATCCCTCTCTCGTGACTTGGTCCCTCCTCTTCTCAGCCCACCGTGTGGTCCTCAGCCCTGCCAAGGGGAGCCATCTCAGTTCACAAGATCCATGTCCAGAAACACAGGGCTCACATGAGGGCTGGTGTTTGTCCCACTGAGTGCAGAGCAGGTGACACAGGGAACACAAACACTGACATCAGAGCTGGCCTCAGCCTGGCTTCAGAGCCTCTCACCCTGTAACTGTGAACCCAGAGAAGACCAGGGAGGAGATTCCCCTCAGCCCGGCTTCTCAGCTCACTCCTCTGACTTACTCCGGGCGCAGCTGTTACTGGGTCACTGGCTCAGCCGTCCTCGTCCCTGGATGATGCCTGATTAGAGAACACACATGCCCATTCTGAGCTAAACTGCTGAGCCCTCAGCCCTGTCCTCTGTGGCACACAGGTTACCACCAACTCAAAAGCTTGAGCAGCCACAAAATCCCCAGGCCACAATCCATGCAGAAGCAGCCACAGAGAGCAAAGTGGCAAAGAGCTGCTTTCAGCTGCTTCGTGCACTATCGTGAGCAGGAGCACCAGCCTTCCCGCGGTGGGGATGCAGACAGCAGGCAGCGCGGATGCCGCAGGCAGACTAACCAGATCCAAATTCACTTCTACCACCTATTCGCTGTGTGACTCTGGGTGACTTGCTTCATTCACCTCATCTGGGAAATGGGATGATGGTAACAGTACAGGCTGAGCATCCCAGATCTGAAACCCAAACTCCAAAATGCCCCCAAATCTGAAACTTTGTGAGTGCCGACATGACACTCAAAGGACACTCACTGGAGCATTTCAGAGTTCTGATCTGGGAAGCTCAAATAGTAAGTATAATGCAAATACTTCTCTCTCTTTTTTTCTTTCTTTTTGCCTTTTCTTTTTCTTTTGAGATAGAGTCTTACTTTGTCACCCAGGCTAAGTGCAGTGGCACATTCACATTAATAACTCCCTGCAACCTTAAACTCTTGGGTTTAAGTGATCCTCCCCGCTCAGCTTCCAGAGTAGGAGGTGACTACAGATGTGCACCACCAGGCCTGAATAATTAAAAAAAAAATTTTTTTTTTTTTCTGTAGAGACAGGGTCTCACTATGTTCCCCCAGGATGATACAAACTTCTGGCCTTGAGTGATCTTCCCACCTCAGCTTCCCAAAATGCTGGGATTACAGGTATGAGCCACTGAGGCTAGCCTATTTCAAAATCCAAAACACTTATGGTCCCAAGCACTTCAGAAATGAATACTGAATATGTATCTACACCATGGGACTGCTAGGAAAAATACAACACCCATAAGGCGTTTTGAATAGTGTCTGGCACACAAAAAGGGCTCAGTATATTAACGACAATGACAAGGACTACTACAACAAAGGCAACAGAGGCAAGGGGTGGAGAGAATTCCTACCCTCCTAAAGCATATCCCCATCCGTGTGCCACAAAGCTACAATAATAATGCCACAGTCACAACCCCAGGAAGCAGGGTAGCTAGGAACTGAATCCAGGTCTGCAATCCCAAAACAAATGCTCCCCATCTCTGTCACTAAATTGCATCCAATTTTCAAGGGGAAGAAGAAATACAGTTATAACCAGCATCTACTTTGTCTCTGCCCTGCGACTGTCAGCTAGACAAGAAAGAGCATCCGAGCATTCTATTGAAAGGAAAAGGCTTAAAGATCTTCTTGACCTACAAATTCCCTTTCCTCTCCACTGTGATATGGACCTGGGCTTTCTCAGAGTGGCACTGCTTTTAGTGTCTGTGTGGCTCTTACGTGTCTTGTTGGAGACTGACATGGCCACCACAGCCCCACACTGACACCCATGGTGGGACTATCAGTCAACATCTATTTTCACATTAACAGAAAACAAATGGCTATTTACAAAGTGCCCCCAGAGAGGACTCTGCCATAAAATCCATATGCCTTCTAAAATGTAAACTGGCCCACTCCACTTTCCCGAGGAAATCAAGTAAAGATCTGCTCTCATAGCCAGTGGGCCAGTCCCATCTTAGGATCCCTTCAGGCCACTAAAAGCAAGAAACTAATTAAGCGTCCCCATAGCAGCCAGTGCATCAAACCCTTTCCTCTGTGTGTATTTTGATCTGAAGAGGAAAAAGTAACTTCCCCTCATGTTTGTTTACACAGTGACTTGGGTACATAGGTGCCTGGGGACAGAAGCAAATGGATCCCTGTCTGCGAAGCCTCTGAGTTAAGGGTACACCAGGGTGCCAGTGAGGACTCTTACCTGAGCAGTGAAGAAGGCAGGGGTGAGGGACCCCGAGGGGAGCGCAGGGCTGTTGAGAGCGATGGAGCCGATGTCGGTGCCCGACAGCACCAGCGGTGGCGCAGAGATTTCCAAGCCTTTGGGTTTTTTGGCTTTAGGGGGAAGAGATGGAGACTTGGTCTTGGAGCCCGATGACAGGTTCAAGGGCTCCAGGGAATCCGAGTCATGGCAGGCGGCCTCCAGGAAGAGGCTTCTGTGTTCAGAAGGGAGGGGCGAGCTGGGGGACAGGGACGGGGACCGAGACGAGGAGGGAGAGGTGGACGAACCGCTGGCACCATTTGGCAACATTAAAGAGGAGATCTTGGCCGAGACAGACGAGGCCAGGAAAGCAGATGCCACCGCGGCCTCGGATGTGGAGGGCAGGGACACCACTGGCTTGGTGACGTGCTTGTCGGTTTTATTGGTCACAAACCTGATCACAGTCCTGACTTCTTCAACCGGGGGGCTGTCCTCGGGTGGCTCCTCCAGTTTCTCCGTCTTGATGGCCTTGAAGGCATCCGGTGGGTTCTGCAGGGAATTAATAGTGAAGGACGAGTACAGGCCTGAGTGGATATACTCGTTACGGCTGGTAATCTTGAGGGCGGAAAGGCCGTGTTTGTGGCCCTCGCGGCCCTTGGGGGGCACCTGGCAGTCGCCCTCCTGCAGCAGCAGGCTGTCCCGGCTGATGTCCACCACGTGAGGATCCATCTTCAGAATCTCCGGGAAAGAGACAAACTTGTACACGAACTTCTGCCCAATCACCTTCTTGATGATGTTCTGCAAATACAAAAGTAGGTATTTAAAATATAAGTGCACATGGGACTGCAAACCAATACAACCTCTTTGGAAAGAAGCATGGAGAATCCTCAAAGAACTTAAATTAGACCTTCCATTTGATCCTGCAATCCCATTACTAGGACTCCACTCAGAAGAAAAAAATCATTTCATCATAAGGACATTTGCACTAGATTTGTTTATCGCAGCTCAATTTACAATTGCCCACATATGGAAACAACCTAAATGCCCACCAACCCGGGCATGGATTAACAAGCTGTGATATATGTATACCATGGAATACTAGTTAGCCATTAAAAAAAATGGAGATTTTATATTTGTATTAACCTGGATGGAGTTGAAACACTTTCATCACAAGAATGAAGAAGCAAGAATCCAATGTACTCAATTCTAATAAGAAGCCATCTAATACACACCCATGTCGGAGAAAAACTCAAATCAATTCGAGTGGGGAGAGGGGAAAAGGGAGTAGGATAGGGGTGCTCCCACTTAATGGGCACAATGTTAGGGGGCAGAGCACACCAAACAAATGCAAACAATGTAACCTAATTCTCTGTACCCTCAATCAACCTGAAACAATAAAAATAATGAATTAAATAAATAAAATATAAGCGCACCAAAGAGACAGAGTAAGATGCTCGTTATGACAGTGCATTTTGCCAGCAGAGGCACCAAAACAGTTCTGTTTTTGTTTTTTGTTTGTTTGTTTGTTTTTTGAGATAGAGTCTCAAGCTGTTGCCCTGGGTAGAGTGCTGCAGTGTCATAGGTCATAGCAATCTTCAACTCTTGGGCCCAAGTGATCCCTAACCTCAGTCTTTTTATTTTTAGTAGAGATGAGGTCTCGCTTTTTGCTCAGGCTGGTCTTGAACTCATGAGCTCAAGCAATCCACCTGCCTTGGCCTCCAAAATGTTAGGATTACAGGCGTGAGCCACTGTGCCCAGCAAAGTATTTCTGATGTACACCTCTTGGCTAAGGAGTAGTGGAAGGAGGAATGAAGTCGGAGGCAGAAGAATTATACTTGCATTCCAATTACTAGGCTGAACAATGTCTGGATATTATACCTGCCAATTACTAGGTGAACAATGTCTGGATATTAATTACCATTTTTAGTTTCCTTATCTGCAAAGTGAGAATTAATATGCCTGATGATATAGTAAGAATTATTCAGCAATCCTAATAGGAAGGTGTTGTTATGCCTATTTTAAAAATTAGTTAAATAGGCTTAGAAAGCTTAAATAACTCACACAGCCACCTGGGAGGAGGTGGTATGTCCTTAACCATAATACGTTATGCATTATAATGTATTGAGGTGCATTGGCTCACCTACCTCTGGGAGTCAGAGGCACTCAATAAAACAATAATAGGAAAAGCATTCTGTAAGCTGGAAAGCATTATAGAAATGTAAGTTATCATCACCAAACCCCACAGTGTTTTCTTAAATCATGGATCCCTTTTTTCCCTTTTTCTTTTTCTTGCCAAGAAAACCACTGGAGGAAAAACAAATTGTCTACTTGGTTATTTATGACATTCATATAATAGTGTTTTAAGTTGCTAGTATCTACTTCTGGCTCTTCAGCTTATGGCTCCAGTCTTCAAACATAAGGCTATAAATGAAAAACAATAATCACTGTAAAAGTTTTCACAGCCCTTTGGGAGAAAGGACTTTTTATTAAAGGCTGTGCTGTTCTTGAGGCTTATTAATGGATACATTAATTCCCTGCAGAACCCAGCAGATTCCATATTTATCTATCAAATGCTTGCTGTGTACCTCCCTCTATGACTGAATCTTGGGGGCCAGGGGGCTCAAGGGAGACAGAGATGCTCTCTCTCAAGCACAAGGAACTAGCACCATCCTATATGAAAAGGACGCCAAGCATTTTCCTATAAATTGTTCTTCCTAAAACTTGGGTATGAGCGAGAGTTAAATAAAAAAAATCATTTGGAAGAGAAAAGCTTTAGAAGTAGTTCCTATGAACAAGCCAGCTCCCTGCACCCCCACACTGGCCCTGGTGGGGGCAGAAAGTCTCCTCCTCCAATACAAAGGCAGAGATGGGGAGTGACCTGCCCAGGAAACACCAAGATCCACCTAAGCTTTTTCACATTTCCACACAAGTTTGGGGGGAAAGAATCAAAAGAACCCTCTAAGAGAAAATGTAATTCAAACTGATGTCCCTTTTGTAATCATAGTTTGGTTCTAAATATATTATGTTTCTGCCTGCCGTCTTGTTCCATTGTGACATTTTGATGTGCCTCCCTCCCTATGGCTTTAAATGACAGAAGGACCACATCGCTGAGATTTTCAAGGAGGAATTACTCATGGTAGGTATGGGCAGTCTCCAAGTTACAAACGTCCAAATGGCCTATAATTCACAAATGGCGGCTGTTACATGTAATAGGTAAATGTACCTGTTCTCACTTTCATACAAACTCAACTTAAGAACCAACCTAGAGAATCTATCTCATTCATAACCTGGGAACCGCCTGTATCTAAGGGAGGGACACACAAGGTCCCCACTTCACACAGGAAATCCCATAAATGTGAGTCCTGGAAAACCTAGTTTAGCACAGCACACTGATGAGATTCAAAGCGAAATGACAGTTCCAGTGGCTGGCATCCTGGAGCTCAGGCCTGCAACTTAACCTGCATCTGGCTTCACCCACACGATGCTGAATGCCTCTTAACAACCTCCAGAGAAATCTGGGGAAACTTAAACCGTTTTCCACCTGGGTCTCGTGCAACAACAGGCCTGGGTCGAGAACATGCCCAGGAAAATTAGCTCCCAGCAGGAAAAGATTAAATAAGGTTGTCATTGGACCCATCTGACCGAGAGTCAGTTCCTATTAAAAAGAAAGTGGGCTTGCCTGGTGTGTTAATGTTTCCTCTGCTAAAGTTCTAAGATATTTTTGTTTTTAGTGCCTAATTTTCTCCCCCGTAGAAAACTTTTTTTTCCCTCAGCCAGTTCGAACATTCATCAACACTGAGTGAACTTTTAGAGCCTCAATCATTAAACAAAAGAAAGGAAAAGAGAAACTTTTCTTAAAGTTTCATTTAGAGCCTTAGTTCAAATACAGAAGAAAGGGGGAAAAGAAATGGTCTGAATAATTTCTTCTCACAGATCAATGATTTGGGAGGAACCCACCCTTTCATTTTCTCATAGGTTCAAAGCAATGTCTGAGCAGGGATTACTAATATGCATGAGCAAATCGAGAAGTAATTTGGGGATCCAATAAACATGTCTCTCCCTTTCAAAAATTAAACTGAAAGACAATCTCAATAGAGAGCTGGGCCTTGATGTGTTAAATAAAAACATAAAGAACAACTCATAGGTCTATCAACTGACAGATGAGTGAGCAAAATATGACAGATCCTTATAATGGAATATTATCCAGCTACAAAAAGGAATGAGGGGCCGACACAACAAGCAGGCCAATGTTATGCTTTATTATGCTAAGTGAAGCCAGATATTACGATTACAGAGGCCACATATTATATGATTCTATTTATATGAAATGTCCAGAATGGTGAAATCCCTACAAACAACCAGAAAGTAGATTATAGTTGCCCAGAGCTGAGAGAGATGGAAGGAATGGGGCTGACAGCATTAAGGCTATGGAGTTTCCTTCTGGAATGATAAAAATGTTCTAAAATTGATTATGGTGATGGACGCACAACTCTAAATATACTCAAAGCAACGGAATGTTACACTTTACATGGGGAAATTATATGGTGTGTGAACTGTATCTTAGTTAAGCTGCTTTTTTAAAAAAGAGCACAGAGAAATCTCAGGGGGGTTCTGGCTGGGCCTGGTGGCTCATGCCCGTAATCGTAACATTTTGGGAGGCTGAGGCAGGAGGATCAATTGAGCTCAGGAGTTCGAGACCAGACTAAGCAAGAGCAAGACCTCATCTCTACTAAAAATAGAGAAACTAGTCAGGTTTTGTGGCAGGCATCTGTAGTCCCAGCTACTCAGGAGGCTGAGGCAGGAGGATCACTTAAGTCTAAGAGTTTGAGGTTGCTATAAGTTATGATGCCATGGCATTCTAGCTCTGTCTCAAAGAAAAGAAATCTTAAGTATTTTGTATGTTCAAATGGAAGGCAGTGGGAACTTTCTAATGCTAGAGGGCACTGGGAAAACATGCTAACCCTACTCTCAATACAAAGAAGGAGAGCTGGGATGGGCCCTTCAATAGTGGCTGCTTGGGGTTTTGGGGGCTCCAAGGACACCAAAAGGTTTTCAGGGAAAGGTTGGTTACACAGTGCCCAGGAATTGGGACAATTTAATACCTGGCTTAAAGGAGATTAACAGCCTTTGGAAAGAAACAGACAGGTCTTGCTTTTCTAGAGATCAGTGGAAAAGAGGAATTCAATCTGGCTACCGAAACACCTGCAGGCTGGGGGTGGAGCTGGGCAGGAAGCAGGCAGGGTTAGTAAAGTAGGTCAAGAGATGCAGCGCAGTGCGCTGGAGAGCAAGCCGTGGCCCAGGGGATGTCTGCTCACATGAGAGGGGCCACACATGAGGGTGCAGGACTCGAGGGTCCGGCAGGAGGGTATGTCCCCCACAGTGGAAATGACAGTCCCTTCTTATCTTCCAGGGCTGACCCTGGGAGCACATCGATAGCATGTAGATTAGCATGTAGAACCATCTTTCTCTGTGGTTTCTAAAGAGAAGCTTCCTTCCAGGACAGTATGCCGAGAAGACACACAATACAAAGGATAATAAGAGCCAGTGTGTGCTGAGCACACGTGCGAGCACAAGGACTTGACAACCACTGACTCATTTAATCTTCTTGGAGATTGGAATTATTATCCCCATTTTACAGATAAACAAACTGAGGCTCAGGGAGTATAAATTAAACACCGTTACAAACTTATACTTGAGGAAGACAGATGGCACCCAGGCATCTGACTCCTGAGCTCTTGGGTACTATGGAGAGTTAGGCTAACTTAGGCAGACCAGGAAATAAGAGCACTTGAATAGAG